ACAGGAAGACGGTGTGGAGACAGGAGACACACAGTGAGACATCACAGAAGACAACACAGACTAGAGAGATACATCTGCCAAGGACTGCTGGCATCACCAAAGGCTAGCAGAGGAGCCGGAATAGATCTTTTCCTCACTGTGCTCAACAGAAACCCACTCTCCTGACATTTTAAATTGAATTTTAAGCTCCAAAATCAGAAGACTATTTATTTCTATTGTCTCAGCAATCTCACTTATGGTGAAGCTATGGTAGTCCTCGGAACCTGGAGCAGAGTATTTTTAAACTGAGTCAGTTTTTATATTATACCCTATTATTACCATCAAGAACCATGCCAGGGAATCAACATGGAGGGCTTTGGAGTTGGGGGAGCATAGCTAAAGACCATAGCCTGCTGCAGCCAAGACCGCATTCCTAAAACTCCCTTTCCAGCATCTCAAGACCCTTTCCCTTTGAGCTCTCCAGATGACTCTGTCAGACCATTTCTTACTCTGGTATTACTGCACCTCTTAATAGAACGGACTCATGTTCCTCCTAACCTTGGTGACCTTTGTACCCATCCAACCACCTGAGTCATGAGCTAAAGTTCCTGTATCATTGCTCCATTTGCAAACTAAAAGGGCAAGCCTGAAGGACAGACTGAGGCCCAATAATGTAGTGGAAGCTGTCACGGAGTACTACATATGGGCAGGACATGGTGGCACATGCCTCTAGTTAGTGTATTCAGGTCATGGGAGCAAGAGGCTCTAGTTTAAGGCCAGCCTTGGGTACACGGTGATACCATTTCAGAGATGAAAAGGAACAGGAGTGAGAGAAGGTTTCTTGCTTCACACACACATGCACATACACTCACACACATGCACATATACTCACACACATGCACATACACTCACACACATACACTCACACACACATGCACATACACTCACACACATGCACATACACATATGCATACATGCACATACACTCACAAAAACATGCACATACACTCACACATACATGCACATACACTCTCACACACACATGCACATACACTCACGCATACATGCACATACACTCACACACATGCATATACACACACACAACACACTATTAGCTATAAAGAAAAAAAAGTTCTTACCATTCTTCTTGAAGGTGATTTTTGTGGTACCTTTGAGGTCTTGGGACTTGAAACCTAAAGAAAACATTCCATCTTTCAGATTAGCCCCGAGAACATAAGTGCATGCTGCCTCTGGCCCGATGTAATCCTTGTGGAAAGTATCTGGGTACCTATCAGATTAAGAAGTACATACGCTCTTTGACCCCCCAATTCCTCATCTACAAATTCAACTTCAAACATATTTCAATTGTGAAAATGATGATGTATATACCACTTTACTCACTAAAGCTCAAATCATGAAGAAATGAACAGAATGCCATCTGGGGTTCACCAGTCTGGGCGGTCTAAACAAGCTACTGTACACCCATAGAAGAATCCACAAAAGAAGCAAGGCGGGTGGGCGCACTGCTGTGGGACACGTGCCACTGTTTATTAAGCTGCTACAGCAGGACCCGGGACAGTGTTCCCGGTATGCTGCAGTCACATAGAGAGGAGGGACGCATGTAGTCATCATTGGGATCCACAGAGCATGGGTTCCGCAAACCCACACCAAAGGCCACTGATCCTCAGGCACCCTACAGAAAACGGCACAGGTACATGTCATCCCAAAATACTTCACGTCATTCCTAGCTGGCTTATTGTACCTACCAGACTATAACTGCTAGGGAAATAAGCTGCCATGTATGTAAATGTATGTAAAAAGGTCTGTACATGTTTAGAACCACTGGGACACGGATTTATGGAGTAGTTTCCATCTTCACGTGCAGAGCCTGCGGCTGCAGAGGATTGAGAAGGCATGCATTTATTTCTGCTGCATGAGCATGGAGCATCTGGGGTGGACACACTTGTGTGTTTCTGTGGACGCACATTCTGCCCCTGGTGTTCATTTTCTCCAAGGGTAGAAGTCAGCAGTGACTAAATTTTATTCTATATCCTTTTCACATTTTTTATTTCATTCATTTATTTCCTTCCCGACTGACTGGTGATCGCGGATGTGTTTGTGGGGGTTGGAGGACAGCCTGTGGGAATCAGTTCTCTCCCTTCACTGTGTGTGTTCCCAGGATTGAACTCAGGTCTTCAGGGTTACTGGCTGAGACACCCCACTAGCTCTTCTCAATGATTCTAATTTGTAACCTGTTAGTTAATTCTTTATTCCAACTGACACGAAGCATTTAAGCATGGCCTGCTGCAATGGAATTAAAGTGTTCTGTCTTTCGGCGCTTGCTTCTGCGGACCATTTTGAGGCAGGGTCTCAGAATGCAGTCAACCTTGAACTCAGCAAGTAGCTCACCGTGACCTTCAACTCACAACCCTCCCATCGCCACCAAGCCCGGGTTTAGTGGCATTTTCACTTCTGCCTTTCCCACCCGTTCCTCAGCTCAGTCGTCGGGAGACTACCAACCTACACCTGTACTGTCTGTCACTGCCTGCATCCTGGATGTAGGTACAAAAGGATGTGCCTCACTCACCAAGAATCCCAACTACTTGTGACTTACCTGGGGGCTTGCATGGCCTGCCTAAACGATACCTGTCTTGGAACTTGTCAGAGCTGTGGGCACAAGTGTTGTGTGCCAGGTTATCGGCTGCCATAGATAACAGCTGGGGAAATAGGACGGAACTGAAAAGGCTGGGGCTTAGGTGTTCCTAGGATTTAGACAGCCGTGTGCATACCCAGAACTGGGCATACGAGGAGGCACACAAGCTGGAGGGGAGAGGCTCTGTTGTTCTGTCGTGCGTATGTGCATACATGAGTGTGAGTGTGTGTGCGGGTGTGCATGTGTGTGTGAGTGTGTGCACATGCACACAAGCGCTGGTTCTGGAGATTAAACAAAGCCCTCATGCATAAGAGGTAGGCTCTCTGCCACTGAGCTCTGGCCTGAACCCTGTGGATCTGATTTGTAAAAATACCATAATACTCAGAGTGTCTAGTCTTAACAAAAGGTATTACACAGTCAAAAAAGACCAGTCAAACTACTAAATAAGGCTGTTTCAAGAGTTTCTAAAGGTTTCTTCTAGAGGACATCATTTTTTAATGTAATCATTGAGAGTAATATAGACATTGTGACTGTGGGTATATCAGTTAATCGCGGTCTCTTGCCTCCCCACAGTGGTGAGCGCTATGCCGCGTCCCCATCATCCCTGATACCCGTTCTCTCTCCCGTTAGTGCTGTCCTCTTCAAGATGGAGCTTAGAACCCACCTCACTCACTGTTACCCACAACACACACACTGGAACCCGCATCCTTATCATTTTTGTATCAGTGATCCTGGCTCACTGTCAGTATAGCTGATTGGCCTAGGGCATGCTTCTGTGTGTTCATGGCTCTTAGATTCCTTTATCCTCTATATTTCTGTACCTTTTTTTTTTTTAGCGCAAAATAAGTTTCAAGTTTTTGCATCATCCGAGTTGAATAAAACCAATGCCTGGAATGCACTGCTATCTCCACATAACTAACTGTATTAACACAAAATCTCTGGGAATGCTATGTAATTTTTTTTTAAAAAAAATTGACAATGATCTATTCCATGTGTCAAAAGAAATGTCTTTTTCTACTTACTTGATACACTGTCATAGGTATGTCCTAGATGCTGCAAGAAAAATACCCTGACTAAGTCAGCTTGAGGGAGAAAGGGCTTACGTTGGCTATAGTTCCAGAGGTGTACACCCATCCTGGCAGAGAAAGCAGGGGAGCAGCAGGAAGCTGAGAGTGAAGAGGAAGGGGGACTGAGCAATAAGCTCTGAGGTGGCCCACTTCCTTCAGTGAGGCCCCACTTCCTACAAGTCACAACATTCCCAGACAGTGCCAGGGGACACTGCACGTTCAAACCATGACAACTTGATCGTCTTTAAATCACTGAGAGGGCGAAAATGCTGACTTTCAACTTTTGTAAGGTCTTTTCAGTCATTCTAATGAGTCAGATAGCAAACACTCTTCGAGAGATAGACATTCCAAGAACTTTAACCCCAAAGCATGTAATTTAACACAAAAGATAGATACTGTCACTCTGTTATGGAGACTTTCCATAGTATCTTTTGGTGTTTTAATAACTCCATTCTTCCTTTGAGAGAGAAAGCCTAGATTGTGGACTTCCATGGCCCTGCTGTGACCCACCCATGGCCCTGTTGTGGTCCACCCTTGGCCCTGCTGTGGATCACCCTTGGCCCTGCTGTGGTCCATTCTTGGCCCTGCTGTGGTCCATCCTTGGTCCTGCTGGGATCCACCCTTGGCCCTGCTGTGGCCCATCCGTGGCCCTGCTGTGTTCCACCCTTGGCCTTGCTGTGGTTCACCCTTGGCCCTGCTGTGGTCCATCCTTGGCCCTGCTGTGGTCCACC